AATGTTCAAAGGTAAAGGTGAAAGCTGTAAATACTGACAGATTTACCAAAGATAACTAGATAACCACCCCCAATTCAATACATTACTTAACATGTTCTTCAAATCAAATGTTGCCTTTGTGACCTTGAACTTATTCCAACCACTCTTGAATTATTTCTTTGAACAGGAATTCAGGATACTGCATCAAATTTTCTATCATAAGAGTACCTCACTGCATGTTCAGTTGCTGTGTGCATTTGATTCAAGAGCAGTCTATTTTTGTCTTGTTTATGGCTTTTATTCTCTCTAGCTGTTATAGTACTTAGTAACGTATGTCTGTATCTTGAACATATTGCTTGCAACCTGAGGTATTAATAAAATCTTACCTCTTATTCAAAAAAAAAAAAGTGAGCAGCATCTGCTTTTAAAAAAAGGTCTCTTGAATTTTTTGCAAGCGCTAATTGGTACTTCTAGAAGAGACAAAAGTCGTAAAAAAGGTTTAATTTCTTTTTAAATTTAGGGCACTTCCTCTTCTCTGTTCAAATTTCTTTTAGTGCCCAGCTATCCAAATTACCTCCCCAGACCACTTTGTCCTCTACACTGTCAAAGTAAAATCTTTGAAATTTACTGCCCATTTAAAATATAGCCCATAATGAGGTTACAGTGTCGAAGGGGAAGCTGCTTCCATATAATAGATGTGCAGCAAATTTGCAGTGCCTTGCAGACAAGGGCGATAAGTTGCAACTTGAAGAAGTTCATCTTGACAATGAAACACTGCATCTCTTTTTGCAGGAAGCCACTCCAGCTGCCAACACACAGCTTTGTATTGTAACCTCACAAAGCTGAGGTCCAGTGTTGCTGATTTAGCTGCTTTCAGATCTGCTTAGAGTATCCATGCCTCTACCGCTCTTGTTCTTGAATCCCATTGCTTGCTGTCCTCCTCAGCTGTATGTCTCAGCATGAGAAGTCATCTAGAAGTATTTGGACTAAAAGTAGCTATTGGTTTTCCATATATATATCATCAGCTGTGGCTGTGGCCAGGGAATATCAACAATAATTTGGTAGGGAATAGCTAGGATCATGGACAAAATAATATATCTGCAGGGAGAAGCCCTGAGATTGTACTTCAGTATATAATGCTCCAGAGATGATCCAAGAGATGATCCAATTGTGATCTGAGTTTAATAACTTCAAATGGCCACACAAGTGAATAATTAAGAAACTGTTTATCTTCAAAGAGGGAGCAGGAGGGCACTCAGCCAGGTGAAGAAACAGAAATGTTTGTGCCTTTTAGATAACCGCTCATTATCGTTTGTAACTAGTCACCTCTGTTAAATAATTGTGCTTTAAAAAAATAAGAGGAATCTGACCATGCAGACTTGGGCTTGTCAGGCCACAAGGAAAGAATGTAAGTAGTTTGACATACAGGTCAAACACACTATTGAGCTGAATCACAACGCAGGAAAAAAGGTCTTGGAGTCATCATTGGCATTTCTATAAATTTATGGATCTGGATTACATAGAATATTCTGAGTTGGAAGAGACCCACAAGTCTTACTCTTAAGGGAATAGCCCATACAGGGATTGAATGCACAACCTTGGTGTTATCTGAAATCATTGTCTCAGCACAAATTATTTTCAAAAATACCAACAGTATGTCATCATCACCGTATTACCAGAAAGGGTTTTGAGAATAAGACAGAAATGATGTTTTGTAACTGTAGAAAACCTTAGTGTGCCCATTTTTTGAATGTTGGGTAAAGCTTTGCTGTCTACATCTCCAGAAGGAACTAGTGAATTAGATATGATACAAAGAAGAGGAATTAACGCAAGAGGAAATAGAGTACCTGCCTTCAAAGGAAAAATTCAGAAGTCAGGGATGCTTCAGTTTGAAGAGAAGGAGGCTGAGGTGTATATGTAATTAAGGTTTACAAAATCAGAAAAACACTGAATAAGCTGGATGTGGAATTGTTCCCTAAATTGTGCAATACAAGAAACAGGTGCCATTCAAAAGTAGTAAACAAAGATAGATAAATTAGCAGCTGCATCAAGGTGTTTCTTTACACATCAGGTTTAAGGCTCTGGAGGTTATTGATACATGTGGTTGTGAAGTGGGCAGTATCAGCCAGTTCAGAAGGGGATTAGACGCGTTCATGGGGAGCCTGAATACTAACAGGACTGGGCCAGGGATAATACCTTTGGATATTCCCTAGTACAACAATTACGGATGCTGGAGAAGTATGAGGGGAAGATACTGTAGGAAGCAGTAGGCTCATGTGTTCGTACTAAATACCATCTCTTGTTGCTTCTCCTGGAAACAGAGCACTGGGCTACAGCTACCTCTGTTGCGCTTTGTTGTGCAGTTTTACTTCTTACATTCTTATGTTTTAGTTGTTTAATGAAGACATTTGCTCAGAGTTTTAAATGGACTTGCGGCAAGAAGCTGATCAAGTTTGTCTGAGAGAATGGCTTCTTCCTATTGCGATCCACTGGTATTGCTCAGTGAAAGGAAGAGTAGATTGAGCCTTTATTTTACTGGTGTCGTGTACATCTTCATGTCTTCCAGTTTCTTTGTATCCAGATTTATCCAATTTATTCCAAGTGATAGAATACTGTAGCTAAATGAGTAACATTTGAGCTGATGCACGGTGACCAACCAAATGCAGCAATTACCTGCCCCTCTTGCCAAGTAAAACACAGTAGCTTAAACCGTGATTTAGTCTGACAAATGATTTGTGGTTTAATCCTAGTACCTCCTGATTCACACACCAACATACAGTCACTTACTGCAATTTGGATGATGAATGTTAACTCATTAGGCTCCAGTACTGAATTTTTTTCCTACTGAAATCACTACCCTTCAGTGCACTTTTATATATTTTCTCCCCCTTTTATCAGGCTTTTCCCTCACAATATTAATGCTTTAGTCTTACTTAGGAAAAGACTGTGTGTGTTTGAGGATTAGAAATTAGTATAACTTGGTAGGACCCAGAACTGTGTATTCGACTCAACAAATCTGTTTAGATCACTTGGTGTTTTGGTAACTGATGTAATGTCAAATCTGCTGATCCACTGAAACTCACGTGCAGTCTTGGCTGTGGAAGCAAAGTCTTACAGAGCTGAATCAGTGACTGCATAGCTTTTGAAGAGAGTCCTTGTCAACACAAGTGTAACAGAGCACCATCTCCTCTCTATCCGTGACTAGAAGAAAGAAATGAGAAACTGCTTTGAACCAGATGGTGATTCCTTCTAAATGAAGTAGGAGTCTTGACCTTAGTATTTTCTATAAAGTTCAATTTACTCTTTGTACCTTGCAGAGGATATATTTGGTGCATCTTACTGCACTTTGTCTTGAGGGAATTACAAAAAATAAAACTGTAGGAAAGGCAGAAAGAAAGGAAAGAGAATCAACCATAAATGTTTCTCTAACCACTGAGCTGTTTTCTTGAGGTCAGATACCTCTACACAACGTTGGTGACCAAAATAGTCCAGTGACTGCTAGCTAGGAAATTACTATATTTAAAATGTAACAACAATTAATAATGCTAGTAATTCTTACTTGCTAACAAACACTTTTTACTGCCTTCCATCTGGGTTGTTATATCACGTTGCAAGCACAAAGCTTTGGACATCCCTGAGACAGTTAGCATGCTCTTAAACATTCAAACCTGCCAATATTGAAAAGAGTGAATCAAACATGTAAGCAAAGGAGCAGAACATAGGTCACTTTTTTCTTTTGATGGTTATTGTCGATATAGCTAACTAACAACAGACAGAATGACAGGAAAGAAGTTAAAGAATATGCATCAGCAATACTTGCCTCTTTTACTAATCCAGAAATGAATATTTGAAATGCAAAAGCTGAAGAGTGTGTGTAAAGAAGCTAAACATGGATTCATCCAACAGAGGTTGTTGACACAGCACATTTCTTGTCTCAGCCTGTAGAAGATCCTTCTCTTAGCAGAAGGGGGGCAATCACTCTGTCTGATGTGTTTCTGAAACTATTAAAATTTCACTATCACCACAGTTTCCCCTGAATGTTAAATGAAGAATCTGTTGCATGAGCTTAAGTGGGATATTTTCTTATCTTTTTTAAACTACCCTTGTAGCAAAGGGTATGTGGAGGCCTGATCCTCCTCTTTCACTTGCAGATCAGTATTAGTTTTAATAGGATTGCAGAACTGAGGGACAAATTAAGCCTCAATTCAGGCTGTCCTGTAGTTTGACTTCTGCTGTTATCCCTGTTTTGCAGACAGGTTAGGGTCCTCAGGTGTGGCTAATTACCTTTCTGTGTCTGCTGATCACCAGACTGTCACTGCCACCACCCTTGCCCTATCAGTGTGTTGTCCTGGTCAGGGAGATGACTGTTCCTGCCTTGCTCCTGTCTCTTTGCAGACATGGCTTTGTGGAGCAGCCCAGCTCTTCTTTTTCCCTGGTAGTTAGCTCAGGCTTCTGTGAAGGGCTTGCAGTTAGTTTACCGCCAGACATGCTGCAGTGCAGTATGGCTCAAGCAAGAACTGGGGACAGTCTGGCTTGAGCTTAAATAGGGCTCCTGAAACTATGAGCAGAGGGGATGGTGGAAGGGTGCTGGTGAGGACAATTAAGGGAAACCAGTGCACTTGGGGCCCTGATGCAGAAGAAATGAAGAGTGGGTAACTTATTGGCACTGGAAATGAGAAAAGTGAAGAAGGTTTGTCACTATTAATGTATTACCTAAGAGTGTGGAGAGGCTGTGGCACAGTGGCAGCCAGTTGATTAGTTTACATGTATGTTCAACTCTGCTCTTGCTAAAGCATTTTCTTTCTTATTTAGAATATGAGTGGATAGGATCAAGAATGGTACCTGAGTGTAGGATATTCAATCCTGGCAGTGTCCAAAACTTCCCATTAGCTTGTCACTTGACTTTCCTGAAAAAATAATATTAAAAAATGGTTTTCTGATCCTTTTTATCTTTATTGATTTTGAGAAAATGTGCATATAAATAAAGGAGATTAAAATAGATTCTGGCTTCATACTTTCAGGTTCCTGAGCATGCAGAACTTGCCTGGATTCTTGGGTGCTTAACTAATGTGCCACGTCTGCTACGTTTACCCCAGTGGAAGGTATGGACAGTTTTGTAGATTGAAAGGAAATATGTGGAAGTTCAGTAGAATTGTTGTCCTTGAAGCTTGTTATCTCTGAAGTCCCAACTGTATCTTGGTTATCCCTGCTTTCAGTTTAAGTAGTTCTGTAGTCCTGTGGTGGAAGGGGGGGGGGGAAAGTGTCTGTCTAGGTCTGTTGCTCTCAATGAACGTTTTCCTGCTGGAAGCTACAGAATAATATTATTGGCAGAGACTTGCAGAAACAGTACTAAATATGAGGTTGGTTTAGTGTTGTTGAACTGATTTTGCTAGAATATTTGATGTTATTTCAATAATTTCAATGCCTATTTAATAATGTAAAACTACTGCAAGATATTGCAATGGAAACCTTGAGCCTTGACAATTAAGGAATTCCATAAACAGCTTTTCTTTTTCCACTATAAAGAGCGGCTGTTTTGTAGATTTTATGGAAGAGTCTTCAAAAGAGTCATATGTTGGAAGAGGAGTATAGAAATTATAAATATAAAAAATGTGCTGAGTGATAATCTATCTTAAATGTTTGCCTTTACAAGTTTCAAACGTTCATTATCTTAATCTTGGTACTGCATCAGCATGACGGCATTAACAGTTCTTTCATTTAATTTCCTTGTATTTTATTTTGGCATTTAGTAAGCAGAAAAAGCAAAAGGAGAGAGAAGTATCCGAAAAAGGAAAAAAAAAAAAAAACCAGCAGCTTAAGAGCAGTTTGGCTTGTAGAGTTCAGAGCAGCCTTAAATACCTCCAGATGTTTTCTTTTTTCCTGTTTTTCTTCTTAATTAAATAAAACCAGTAAACCTTAAATACAGCAACCAGCATTAATGCATGTCCTAGATTAAAGCAAACCTTTTCAAACCTGAGGTTCTCAAGTTAAGCTCTTAAATCCAACTTTGACTGGATTGACTTTCCAAATCTTCAGATAGATGTTACAGGTGCTAGACTTTGCAAATTAAGTTCCCTGAACCCTAGGCACTTAGAGATGTAGACAGAATATAGGATCTGTGGGAGATGGTAAGAAAAATTTGAATATATTTGAACGGTCTTAATGAAATAATTAAGATTTCAAGGGGTTTAGTATATTTAACTGTTGCTAAAAGCCAAATGTAGATGTGCCATTGCTAGAACATAATTAGTATCTGTAGCCTGACTATTGTGATTTAAATGATCCATATTGTAGAGCAGTAAAGGGCTTGAAGACATTAGGTGGATTGTGGGGAGCAGCGTGAACTAATGGAGAGAACGCTGGATTCCGCCTCTGTAGTTATGGGTTCTCCTAGCTGTTGCTGACTGTCCTTGTGACTGTGTGATCAAGGTCTTAATTTCTTTTCTGTGAAGCACAGGTACTATATACTCTTTGTGTCTCTATTGTAAAGTGTTTCAAAAATTTATTTCTGAAAATGCTATTTTAAAAGTAGGGTTTATTGATACTAACTGTAATAACCCAACCTGATCGTTTTGAATTTGAAATCATTTTTATTAATAAGGTTACAAACAGAAAACACAAGGCTCTGTTTTCTTCTCACTAGAATATCAAAACAGTCTAGGGAAATTCATAAATACAGGACATAGAATATATGTATTCATAAGGATTGGATTTTACATGACACTCTCTTCTCTAGAGTTATGCAATAAGTTACTCAGTAAGTCAGAATTCTAATTAACTAATTAATAAATCGCAGATTTTGATACCATTAGGCAAAAGTGTGATTCCTCTCCGTTTTTCTTTTTCAAACAGATGAAGCGTGCCAGCCAGAATAGCGAAGGAACTGTTGGTTTGTTGACTTACCCTGTGCTTCAAGCAGCAGATATTTTGCTGTACAAGTAAGAGGCAGAATGTGAGCCCATGGGCAATGTCTGTTCAGCTACATTAGAATGAATGTTCGTCAGGTCAACATGCTAACTTATTAAGTGGGGGAGCTGGGTGTGATTAGATCAGAAGATTGAAAATGGATGACAGACTCTCAAGTGGCTGGTTGAAATCTAGCCTGACTAAAAAGCAACTGATAGGGCTGTAAAGAGAAAAAGCTGATCACTTGAGAATAATTCTTAGAGAATTACAGCAGATTGATGTTTAATTGTACATATTAATTGTTCACACACATACACATTTTTTTAAGTAGTTACGCTTAATTTTGTGCAGTGTACTGTAGAGATACTTAAACTGTCTGTATGTAATATACCAGTATTAGTGTGGGATTAGTGTAGTCCAATTCATATTGATGAGATAAGGTGACTGCACCTTGTAGGATCTGGGCTAGTTCAGTTTTCTCTGTGGGGTACTATGTGCTGCAATGGTAATGGGAGACTGATGGTTTCTCAGCATGCCCAAGCCTGTAGCCTAGCTGATAAGAATTGTTATGACTGGTTGTATTTCATAATATGATTTAAACTGTCTCAATTAGTCAATGTTAGAGACAATGCACTATGTATTATTTTTATGTTCTGAGCATATGTACTTTGTGGCATTGTTCTGAAGGGATGGTGAGAGTATTTGTCAGGACAGAACTGTGAGGATGGAGATGTTGTGACAGAGTAACCAAGAGTAGCCAGTTGTTAATTCAGAAAAATGTATCTAGAGAAATTTCATTGTAAGTAACCATAGTAGGGGAAAACAGTACTGTTAGAAGACCAGTAGATGGTATTTCTAACTCACCTGAATTTTAACTAAAACTAATGGGAAGCAAACAAAAGAAAGAATCGGACTATTATAATGGTCTTCTTATCAGTGAGTCACATTTGATTGTCAAGCAGTATTTAAGGGTGAAAATTAGAGAACTTTGTCAGAAATCACCTTGTTTTGATTGAGCTCAACTATGTAGGTCTCTTTCATCTCTAATCAGATCATGTAATTCGTATTTCATTAGTAAAGCCAGTGGCTTGTTTGCTATTATATTAGCAGCACTCTGTCCACACAGAGCACAAAATAAGAAGTGAAAGAAAAAAAACACTTTGAAAAAATTTGACATAATATATTTAATAATAAATGTTATGTACAATATTTAATAATAAATTTAATGTAAAAAAAATACTGTAAGGAACAAGAATTAGGGAGAACTGGAAATACAGGAAGGAAATGGCACCCATGAAGAAGAATTTAGAGCTAGAGGAGGGCAAGAAACAGTACTAACTCAGATGAACCAAGGATCAAACAGATAGGAAAATAAACAGAAAATTACAGAAAGGAGTTAAAATAGCACCAAAACAAAAATATTTTAAAAAAATCAAGGAAAAAGGCAGATGTATTTATAGAAATAATATGTTTTCTCTTTCATGGCAAACTTTGTGAATATAGAACCATTTTGGCATATGGAAACATTTCTTTTGACCTGCTTAAAGTATATTGATTATGGTAACTGATTTTCTCTATGTTAGTTATAGGCCACTGTGATTTTCTATTGGCTACTGTAACTGATTTTAGGTTACTTTGCTGACTGTTTGGTGGGGAATAAAGGTGGACAAATTGATTGTTGGATGTCAGCCCAGTAATTCAGAATCGGAAGGAAAGAGTACCGTGTTGAACTGAAATTTTCTGGGAACTTAAAAGATGCACAGTGAACTTCCTTACTCTGGAGCATATCCAGGATTCTGAATACCTCACAAGCTTCAGAAAAAAAAAAAAATCTGCTGGGGGGTGGGAGAGTAATCAAAAGCTGGCATGATTTCAAGTCTGCCTCATCTAAAAGAATCATACATTTTTAGCAAGTATGATTAACTGTGGGAAAGAATCACCAGGGGAAGTAATGGATTCTTCACCTCCTCGTGTCCTCTGACACAGATTATGTTTTCCTCCAGAAGTGTATTCAAGCCATTGAGTTCAATACAGAAGATCAGATGATCCTTTGAATCTGACAGTTCTAATCTTCTAATGATAACACTTGTGACAATGGAGGCACTGACCCACTTGATATTTATTCAGTGGTGACCCATGAGGAAGAACCACTCTCTTCTTTCCTTCCCTTGGTATATCCTGAGTACTAACTTCTCAACAGCAGCTATGTTTTCCTGAAATTTGACATGACAATGTGCTTGCACTTTACGCCTTGCAGACCTTTCTTGCTTTGTTTGCACACTTATAACAGGTGCTCTTTGATCTCCAAAGAGACAGCAGGAGATACTACAAAAACCTTCTTTGAGCTGAGTTTAGTGAGTTGCTGTTACAGGTTTCTTTGCCATATATGTTTTCATGAGGGGCTATTTTTGCCCTTGGAGATGTGCTTCAGTTCAGCACAAAATGCAGACTCAACCTAGGATATGGTTGGGTTTGGACCTTGTTCCCACAGCACCTATATCTAGCTGGGACTGAGTATTTGGCTCAGTCTGGCCCTTAGTTGTGGCAGAAGCTGTGACAGTCTTGAGTAACATTTTGGCAGAACCAGAGAGCTTTGCTGAGTTTCCTGTATCTGTCTTTTATTAAAAGGTCAACACATGTTCCTGTTGGAGAAGATCAAGTCCTGCACCTGGAACTAGCCCAAGATATAGCACAACATTTCAACAAGAAATATGGAGAATTCTTTCCTGTGCCCAAAGCCATTTTAAGTGAGCTGGTCTTGTTTTTGGTTTTTTTTCCCTTAACTGCACTTTTAAGGTTGAAGATGGATTTAAATGTTGTGGAAATAGTTTCAGGGACCAAGAAAAGGGTACAAACTGATGCTGAGGGAGTGGAAAATTAAAAACTGACAACGAGAGACTAGAGGCTGTGAAATTTAACTCCCAAGATAGACATAAGGCTTTACAAATCCCTGGTAGAGGAATGTATGTGACGTCTGGTATTCTAGTCCAGGGGGCCAGATGCACTCTGCTGCTGCCAGTCAGCCTTGCTCTTCAAGGATTGGACTTCGTAAGAGTAGGGTCTCTGCTCCATGTTGCTAGTTCAGGAGACAGGTAAGCAACAAGACCTCTAGAAAGCAGAATTCTCGAGGTCCAAGTGGTAGATATTTACATTAAGCCTACTAAACAGCCTGTAGATTTATTGATACAGTGCTCAAAAATTTTTAAGGATGTTTAATATATACTTGCATATTTTAGTACTTGTCTCTTACAGAGCTTAAGACTTGCCAGTTTTGATCTTACACTCAGGGAGACTTATAAGGAAAGTCTTCTCAGCCATTTTTGAGCTATAAGGTCATAGGCCGGGGGGTGAGGAGGAGTCAGATGGCACAAATGGCATGTTTGTTAAGAAACGTGAAGAATTGGGCAAGGAAGAAGCATTGCATCTTTGTTGTAAGTAATGTAGAGGAATGCACAGCAGAGACCTTCGCCCCCAAAAGGGCAAGGAGCTCTCACCTTAGAAAAGACAGGCAGTAATAAACCTTTCTCAGTTTTCAAGCCTCAGTGACAAAAATGGTATTAAACCTAAAGTGGAGCTTAGAGAATACTAGGCATTGCAAACTGCAGTTTCTAATGAGCAACTGAATACTAAGTACTATAAAGAAGAACTGAGTGTAGCCTATGATGCAGGTGAGACTATTTACCAGTAAATAAAAAGAAGTTTTTAAAAAACAACAAGAACATTTCACCTTGCTCATGAAAAGCATTCCTTCATAAGTTCACAAGTATATGCAAACCAACAAAATATCCTAGATGAATGGAGAAGTTAGGGAACTATTCAGACTCACTAGCTGTAGGCAATGCAAATACCTGGACTCATTCTGATTTAGAGAAAAGAGACAGACTTCCAAAAGGTGATTCAGAACAGAGCACTTTCTGGGCAGTCTGAATTTATGTTGGAAAAACTTTTATCATTTCACTGAGTACATAGACCATTTATGAGGAGTATGCAGGTAAATTATTTGGCTGTATAAGGTGTCTAAAACGAATTGGTGTGAATACTCTCAAGATCAGTGATACTTTATGACCTCCATGAATTATGTTTCTTGGTGTTTGGGTGTATGCTGTTAAAGTACTTTGCAATATTCCCCTAATGCTACTATTCTATTTAATGTACATGCATATATCCTATTAATTTGTACAGTACCCATACTTTTCGTATCTGAGCAGTGCTTTACCTCTAACAGAGTTGGTTATTGTTCAGTTAGAGAATTTTAATAGCTGTCTTTATTGAGATTTAGGAGAATTACCAGGAGATTATGGGTGGAAGAGTTTCTTGAAGTAAGGAGATAAACTCTTCTGGGATTCTTTTTAACCTGTTTCTCCACTGCTCAGAACCTTTCAGTGAAGTCCATACTCTTCAGGTAACTTGTTCCCAGTGTCAGTAATATAAGGGAGGAGAAATTCTGGGGAGAAATCAGCATGTTAGCCACAGAAGAAGTATTAGAAGGAGTCCCAGCAAAAGTTTCTGCTTAGTGAGGGTGGGAGAGACAGAGCAGGTTTCAGACAGTTTATGGTAGGAGAAAGATGGCTTTTTAGAAGAACAGCGAGGGCATAAGGACTAAATAGTGCATAAGTGATTGTGCTCACAACTGATTTTTGAGCAAGGATAAACAGCTTCATCCTGTGTTCTTAGCAAATTTTATAAGAAACCATTGTCTGCATTCATAATTACTCCTTCTTTTTTCTTTTTTAAGGTACAACAAAGAAAATAAAATCCCTCAGAGATCCAGCAGTGAAGATGTCCAAGTCAGACCCACAGAAGTTAGCTACTGTTAACATAGCAGACAGCCCTGATGAAATAGTGCTGAAGTTTCGCAAAGCTGTGACTGACTTTACCTCTGAGGTGACCTATGACCCAACTGCTCGCCCTGGTGTCTCCAATCTGGTGTCCATTCATGCTGCAGTAACAGGGCTCAGCATCAAGGAAGTGCTGCACCAAGCCACTGGTCTCGACACTGCTCACTACAAAATGGTGGTAGCAGAGTCAGTTATTCAAAAATTTGCACCTATCAGGAATGAAATCAAGAAACTCCAGGAAGACAAGTCCCATCTGATAAAGGTTTTAGAGGATGGAGCAGAGAAAGCCAAAGAACTGGCTGCCCCCATCTATCAAGAAATAAGAAGACTGGTGGGATTTCAGTAGAAGCTACTGAGTAGTTGCAAGGACTTTTGTATCATGGGACAGACATTTTGTTATTTGTAACAAAATCACTTGTTAATTATTAATCATTTTGGTTTGAAACAAAAGCTTTTTCCCCTGGAAGATCCAAGTAGAACATTGAAGGTGATTGCATTAAAAAATGTGCATATTACCAGTGGGACCATCATTAAGCTTGTCTGGATAGTCAAAGAGGGAGGGCAGCAACAATCACAGTTCACAAAGAAATTGTGCAAAAGCAGAATATAAGATTGCCTCTAGCTGCAAGAAGCTGAAGTATAGGCAGGGTGATCAGAATCTACCAGAAAGATTTGTAATCCTTTCAAGAACATACTTAGCTGTGTATGTAATCTTGTTACAGATGGACAGTTCATCCCATTGGGGGTTATTCAGCTTTGATATGGTGGTTGAACATGTTTTGGATAACCAGAATAAAAGCAGAGACTTACAAATAAATGCTCAGGGTGATGAAGAGAGAATTTATTGCTTCTCCCTATCATGTCTTCAAATTCAGTGTGACTTTTTTTATCTACATAGTTGTGCGAAGTGAGCCACTCTTTAAAACTCACTGGATACTGTGCTTGATGACTTCTTTTGATAGTCACTCCAAAGAATCCAGAAAGTGGACTTGAATTTCACTTCTGCCACCTGTATCATTCTGCTGGTCCGGTCTAAGGTACTTCAGTGACAAATGGTGTGCTTCAGCTGCTCCTATTCTGCCTGCTGTTCTGTTTAGCAGGGAGCTCCAGGATTTTCAGTTCAGCATCAAGTTCTGGGATTGCTTTAGAAAAGGTGGAGGGAAGAAGATGTAATCCTGAGTCAAAGAAATTTTAGGTTGAGAATCAGAGAACTTTCTGTAAAGCTGGCAAAATTACTTGTTCAGAAAATTGTGCCAAAGTCAGAGCCAGAAGTGAGTTAAATAGATCTTTATGAACTCTTCACTACTGAGCCTCAGGAAAACCTGGTGATGGGAGAATGGTATTAGCCTGCACTATCCACAGACTGAGACCTGTGGACCATGGCATTTGTCAGGGAATGTGTGGCAAAGGGGAATTGCCAAAAGGAGACACCATATTCTGAAGAGGGGGTAGTAATATATGTTAAAAGGTAATTAAAGCCCTCCTGGTCCTGTGCCAGCATATATAACTGTATCATTACTGTTCATGGTGCTGTGTTTGACATTCCTATACTGTAATGTAAATTGAGTTAATCCTGTACTCTGGCAGTTCATAACCATTATATATATGCCTGTGGCATTTGTCATGAAGGATTGCAGTCTTACATGACTGAGTTAGTAAAACTGGAGGAGGGAGGGGGTGTTTCTACAAAGTTCAGTTGTTTGTTTGTTTACTTGCTTGCTTTTTAAAAAAGACACTATTTAGTTAATTATAATGACTTGATTCAGAAAGTCTTCAGAAATATTTAATTTTCCAAAACATGAAGCTGAGAACTGAGCATCTCCGGATCTGTGCTGAGACCTGTATTTATTTGTTAGGGATCTGAAGAGAACTGCCATTGGAGAACTGATGATGACAGAGTTAGTCAAGACTAGAGAAGCAGAGTAGATGGAGACAGAATGATCAGAAATCAAACTCAGTATAGACAAGTCCAAGGTAATGTCCTCTGGAAAGAATAAGTATATTCAAAAATTATCCCTGGTTTTAAATAAGCAGATTAGGAAAGGGCACAGTTATAGTTGTGCATATATAGGTAGTTTTAAAAAATTTGTGTCAGTGTTTTAACAGCTGCATTGTCTACATGGAAACTAAGACAAAAAATTAAGGCACACAGTTACTGCTGCTTACTGACTTGGCATAAAGTATTTGCAGTGGCACTGTTTAATATGGATTGATTTCTGCAAAGTTCCCACAATATCTTCCTTGGGAGAAGCTAAGACGGGGCTCATGAAGACACTGCAAATCTTCACCTACGTTTACCTCTACCTCTTTTTCATGAGCAAAGATAAGAGCGTATATTCAAGAGACAAATCATAGTTTCATTTTTTGCACTTCTGATATCCAAATCACCTAACACATAGGGTTGCCATTCAACGCACCTTCTTTGCAGTGGAAAGGAAATAGGAGCATTCGTGGGAGGGGTTGACATCAACAGGTAATTCTGGTTTGTTATTCAAACTATTCTGAGCAATGTTTCCAAAACTGTTAGATTTTTTCAGAAAATCACGTAGATGAAGCAGGAAGAAAAACTTCAAAAGAGCCTTTTCTTTGAGGTAGGGGTTTAGTGCATCATGTATTTAGCAGCATTTCAAACAAGTTCACTAATTTGTCTCTTTTTAATTCAGTAATATATTGGGGTGTTTCCCTTCCCTTTATCCTGTCTAACAAACCTTACTTGCCTGACTCATTTCCTTCAAGTAAGGAAATATACCTGGGGTTTTTTTTCTGCTTCAGGAAAGTTAAACTCATGTAAAATGAGTATGTTCACCTACTGATTGTTGACTTAGCTTTTTATTTTAGTTGCTCCTGTGGAGGAATTCTCAAAATAAAAGCTGTGTCTGCCCAGTGACACAGTCCCAGTTCCATTAACATACATGATCTTTAGAGTCCCCTGGGATGAGGCAACAAACATAGATGTGCAGATATCTGTTGCCTATTTCAGTTTTCTTGGAGCATGGCTTTTTTGCAAAGTTAACTATCTTGGCACTCATGTTGTTTAGCTGAACCTAGCCTGGCTGCCTCTTTGCATTTCTTGAGCCCTTCTCTTGGTGTCTGGGAAGAGTTTGGCAGGAAGAAGCTGAGCTTGAAGCAATGTGTGCTCAATACTAGCAGTAAAACTTTTTTGATTCCAAGCCACTCTGATCTCTTTACTCTACCTCCCTGTTTCCTCTTTGGAACAATTTTGTAAGCACCCATTCTATGTGATGTTCTGTGGTGGTGTCTACGTTAATGAAGTAGTGCAGGTGAGTTAGAGCAGCTGTTTAGAGAACCGTTGTTGGAGAAGACGATGCTATATATTTCAGAATTATTTGTTTCACGCTAACTAGTCCATTGTGCTGGGGATTTACTGGTTGTTTACACCTGGAGTGCAGTAGATGCACTCCTGAAATGTATTTTCGTGTTCATTTTTATCCAGATCATGTTCCTTGAGACTTCTCTGTCATGTCAGCTGAAGTTCAGTAGGTGGGGACAGTGGAGAGTTCTGCAGAACTCCTGATCCCAGCTGCACTGCTAGTATAGAAATGCCTTATGGTATTGCAGAAGTCATTGTAAGGTGTTCTTCCAGGACTGGGTGAGAAAAAGGTCCAAATACATCTTTCCTAGTTAAAGAAAGAAGAGTTGAAAGGTGGAAAGGTATCCTTACCCCTTGCTGTGTTGCTCTTTGAAGAAAAGAAAGCTAAACCAACAATCCTTTCTTTTGAATATGTGCAGTAATTTGTGCCTTAGTCTCAAAATTTCCTCCTTTGCCATTCCTGTATGTAAGTGCATCTGAAGTACATATGTAGTGGTTGGGATCTGCAGTATCAGACATGGCATCTCCTGGTAAGTTTCGCTTACGTTTAGAGATAAAACATCAACTCCACGGTGAATAACTTGCAAAGCTCTAACTAAAACATTTATACACTTGAGACATTCATCTTTGTGGTCAGTGGTTCCTAGGAAGTCATCACTTATAAGAAGATGCTGGGAGTGAGTCTCAGTTCTGTTCTCTCAATTTTTGAGAATTTTAAATTCAGGAACAATGCTTTCTTCAGCAGAGACTCCAGATTAGGATCGGCACCATATATTAACTCTGGCACTGCTCCAGCATACATTCTTGCCTCAAATAACTGGAGTACATTTATATTGTACATTATACTGGAATTTGACTATAACTGTTAAAGATGTGGTTGAAGTATACTTAGTTTACAAACACCGTGATCTGGCTTCTCATATTCTCCAGAAGGCCTTGTGCATAGTTCTGTTTTGGTGTGTGTTTATCGACAAACAATTAAAGCAAAACTCTCAGGATTATGTCTGCATCCATTGAAGGTAAAGGACTTCATAAGAGTGAGCTGAAAGTCTAAGGAAGGACAGTGAAATGGGATCCTTGGGGACTGACCTGCATCTGAACGTTTTGGGACCACAGATTTTAGAAGCAAAAGTTTTCATCTCCCTTGTTAGGGCCATCACGATTCTGACAACAGTACAGCAGTAAATATGGCTAATGAAAGCCTTTATGTCATTTTATGTAAGAATTCTGGATCTGATTTGTTGAGGACTGCAGTATAACATGAAATTTTAACTTTTCTGGTCTCCACAGTTTGCTAGATGTTTGTGACAGCAGAAATCTGTTTGAAACCATTTGCCAAAGCCGAATCTAATCCTCAGATCCAAAGCCTTTGGGTGTTGTCCCGAAATGGAGATTTCACAAAACAGTTTATTATTTATAAACTACAATACCAATTTCAGTAATTGCTGTAGGATCAGTAAGAGCCAGAGGTCCATTCTGAATTACTCATTCATATATTTCATTACTGTTCTGATGCACATTCTGCATATCCATATGGCTAAAGGATCATGACAAAACTCAGAGAGGATCTGTGTGTGGTTCTGGTAATAGCAACAATATGGACCCAGGCGGGTTTGAGTCTTGAATCTAATGAGCATGCTCTTTCAGTGGTCCAGCTTGGTTAGATTTATGTTCAGGACAACAGATGGATCTTTCACCATTTTAATCTCTGTGTTTGAGTTCCTGGATGCTCAAACATAAACTGTTTATAACTGATTGACTGCTTCACAGGGAGAAATAGCAAGCTGGCATAGAGAGTCCAGTGGAAAAGGTTTTCTTTTCAGGAAATATATTATCTGTTCTTGACAGGAAAACAAAAACCCTCTTTCTGCTTTATTGGACCATCTAATTTCCGTTAAATTATTTGATCTGTTCATTCCTTCTGGGTAAACTTGACAGTAGCTGCAAGAAGAATGACAATGTATTGTGTAGTCAAAAGCCTTGGAAGGCCCTAGACATGTCTCATCAATTCAGAAGTCCCTTACATAGTGGGATTTTACTGATTGCATCAGCCAGTTTCAGGGAAAATGTTGCAGCAAAATCGTAATCATATGTGACATTAATTGATCTAATTAAAGCTTTTGTGTCTTGGTTTGGTTTTTTATTTTTTTCTAACTCACTAAGCTGTGAGAGAAGACTTGGGTTAAACTTTGAATTCCCAATCAAGCTTTCTATTGCATAGTCCTGTCTAGATGACAGATGAAGTAATGGAAAATGTATTGTTACAAAAGATTCTGCACTGATTCTCACCTTTCTGTCATTTTGTTTGCTGTGGTAATGGAAGGTTTGACAGAGAAGTATTTGTTCTGTATCGTTCTACCTGCAACAGCTTTAGTTTCATGATTATTTTGTATAAGACCGAATGCCAACCTCCTGCACAAAGGGATGAGCAGGTGTGTCCAGGTACAATAAACAGTTTAACATCTGGGAAGATATTTTCCTGTTGTGGTGAATTGCTGTCACAGAACAC